TCTAATATTAGTTCTTGATACTAATCTTCTAGTATTCAGTAGTCACATTAGAGTCTTATTAATTCGGAATCAAATTGACTCTGATCCTTTAAAGGAAAAAATTCTCTTAGTATTTATTTCTCTATTCATAATATTCAAATTTGAGATCTTATTTAAAAGAAATTAAACTCTTTCTATTCAGATTAATAGACCGTTAGTAAGCTCTAATATTATATTTATTCATTCATTTCATGTTGAGACTTTGTATAGATAGCATTGTCACAAATAATAATTATGTAATATTTTCACTTACAATATGTTTGAATTGTGGGAAGTGAAGAGAAGACAAGAGGAAGAGAAAAAAATTCTCTAGTTAGTGATAAAAAAAGGTTAAATGTTAAATTTGGTCCCTCAACTTTAGTGAGTTGCACATTTTTGGTTTCTCAACAAATTTTTGTACTTTTTTGATCCCTTAACTCTAAAAATTGCACAATTTTAATCCTTCCGTCAGTTAAGTGACACTTGGCAGTTAAATATTCCAGAATGGCACTTTTTAATGATGTGGCAATGACAACTCATATAATTAGCTTACGTGGAGTATGCCAAGTCAGACTTAATTGTCCTTCTTAATTTTTTTCAATTCTTTAAATATAAAATTACTAAAATGCCCTTAATCTATTATTCTTTCCATCGTTCTCCTCTGTGCTCTCTTTGTTCTCCTTCCCACCGCCACCGTTTTCAGCCATTTTTCCTTTAGTTGTCACTGTTTCTCTTCTCCCCTCCCCTCATCCCCTTCTTGGGCATGATTGGGTTCGTGAGGAACCCAGAGACGATCTAGGTTCGTCGCGAACCCAGTTATGGGTTCGTCATGAACTCAGAATGCCTCTTTCATCCTCTATCATTTAGTACTCCACAATTAAAAGCAACATAAAATTTCAGAAGAAATGCCACTGTTTCCTCCATAAATCTACTTTACCTTATTTCTATCCTCTGCAAAAAGCATGTGTGAATCACCATGAATGAGAGAGTTAGCATACATCTTCCTGCAAAAACAAGGAATTAATAATGAACATTGTGGGTTTGCGACAAAGAATCAAACTGACAATGAATCACCATGAATCAAACTGGACTCTAACATAAATATATTCAACAAAATTTACCTAATCTATGGCAATAAAGAAATGGGTTTGCGACGAACCCAGAAGAGATCTGGGTTCGCGCCGAACCCAGAGCAGACCTGGGTTCGCGACGAACCCAGAGCAAACCTGGGTTCGCGTCGAACCCAGAACAAAGCAGACCTGGGTTCTCGTCAAACCCAGAGCAGAGCAGAGCAAACTTGGGTTCGCGACGAACCCAGATCTGCTCTGGGTTCCCGTCGAACCCAGAGCAGAGCAGACTTGGGTTCGCGACTAACCCAGATCTGCTCTGGGTTCCC